CAGGAGTTGGAGGTTGCTGTGAGCTGTAATGCCATGGCACTCTATCCAGGGGGACAGCTTGAGGCTCTGTCTCAAAAAAAAAAAAAAAAAAAAAAACTGAAAAGAACCAACTTAAGTCTTAGAGAGATGGCTTGCAGTTGGCTGAACTCCAAAGTCTCTGTTAAAAACAGAGTCTAGCACACGTTAAGAGGTGTTGATGGCATGTTAGCCCCAAACTGGCACTTTCTTTTCTGCTTACTCAGGTTTGTAAGAAAACTTAGGCTCTGATAACTTTGTTTTGATGTCCTGGGTGTTACTTAATGTTCATCAGCATAACATAAAATTATCCTCCATCCCACACATTGGCGAAAATAGTTTTTATTTGAGAAGAGGTTGCGTTCTTAATACAAGAGCTGCTGAAAGGAAACAAAAGTCTTTCAATTCAGCTCTTGCAATGCATACAGGACCCTGCCTAGGTTGTATGGATGCTAAATAACAAGAAGGACCACAATGGAAGGTGGAGGGCAGTGGGGCCCAGGCAGCTGGGGGTCAGTGGCGAGTCCCAACCCTGCCCTAACGGCGCCCCGCCCCATCATGTGCGCTCACCTGAGGGTCACAGCCTCCAGCCTGCAGCTCCAGCCAGCAGCAAGCCCAGCGTCTGGCCCGGCCGTGGTCACTATGGCAACGCGCAGCTGCGGCGGAGTGACTTGGCAGCGCCCGCCCCTTCCTGCCCAGACACAGTAGCCACGAAATTTGAAGGACGAACCTCAACCATGTTGAGTCTTAGTTTTGTGAGAGTCAGCTCTAGAGACCTTCCGTCCCTGGAGGATGCATGCGAACCTTCCACAAGTCGGCTTACGTCACTCCTTGGCTTACACTCTCCGGGGGCTCCCGTTGTTAACAGAGTAAACTCCACAGTCCTTCAGGTGGCCTTTGAGGTCCTGCCTGAGTTGCCTGCCCCCACCCCTTTCCTCGCTGACCGTGCCCCCTGCTCCTGGCCCCCGTCTCTGCTGCAGCCACACACCTACTTCCTTCCTGATTCTGGAAAATGGGCATGTTCCTGCTTCAGGCCTTTACCTCTTCTTGGCGTGATGCCAGGACATCTGTTCCTTCAAAAGCCGCCTGGGTCATTCTCCCCTGCGTCCCATCAACTTCTGAGTGAGGAGTTCTTGGAATCACTCTATTTAAAATTGAAATCTCTGGCGGCGCCTGTGGCTCAGGGAGTAGGGTGCCTGCCCCATATACCGAGGGTAGCGCGGCCCGGCCAAACTGCAACAGAAAAGTAGCCGGAGGTTGTGGCGGGCGCCTGTAGTCCCAGCTACTCGGGAGGCTGAGGCAAGAGAATCGCCTACGCCCAGGAGTTGGAGGTTGCTGCGAGCAGTGTGACACCTTGGCACTCTACCAAGGGTGATAAAGTGAGACACTGTCTCTGCAAAAAATAGATTAATAAATAAATAAATATAATTGAAATCTCAATTTTATAAATTTGCCAACCCTCATTACTGTTTTATATTGTGTAGCATTTAGAGCAAACATATACACACGTATTTATTGTCAATTTGAAGACATTTTTCTTCCAATTTCTATTTTCAGTAAAAATGCTCAAAACACATAAAAAAAATAACTACAATGAATGCCTGTTACCACCTCTGCCTATATTTAACAATTATTGGCATTTTGCCATATTTGAAAACAGAGTTTTTGTGTTTTTTCATTACTATCTCCAGAGGCTATAGAAGTGTGCCAGATATGTAGTAGTTGCTTAACAAATACTTGTCAAATGAGGCCAGGTATGGTGGCTAATGCCTGTAATCCCAGCATATTGGGAGGGTCATCTGAGGCCAGGAGTTGGAGATCTACCTGAGCACATAGGGAGAATCTAACTTTGGATTTGGTGGTGCATGCCTGTTGTCCCAACTACTCAGAAGGCTGAGGCAGGGGGATCACTTGAACACAGGAGTCTGAGGCTGCAGTGACCTATGATCATGTTTTTTACACTCTTCTTTTTTTAACTGGGGCCGGGTTTGAACCCGTCACCTCCGGTATATGGGGCTGGCACCCTACTCCTTTGAGCCACAGGTGCCGCTCAGACCTATGATCATGTTACCTTACTTCTGCCTGGGTGACAGAGTTAGACTTTGTCTCTAAAACAATAAATATTTGTTAAATGAATAAATGACATGTTTTCAGGGACTCCTGCTCCAAAAGTTTGTGGTTGTCAGGTTAAAGACTCCTTCTAGAGAGGACCCAGAATCTCTGAACACGATGCTGAAATAGTAATCTGAACATGAG